AATCATTTCCCTCCCTTCAGGCAAACAATATCAAATACCTGGGAATCACAATCTCCCCCAGGCTGTCAGAGCTCTTCAACCTTAATTACACCCCACTACTTAAAAAAATTGAAGACTCTTTAAAATGCTGGAATAACCTCCCATTGTCATTATTAGGCCGTATTGACACAGTCAAAATGAAAATTCTACCCCAAATCACATACCTATTTACAATGATCCCCATCACACCCACTGCTAACTGGTTTAAATCATTAAACTCTATTACAACACAGTTCTACTGGAGAAATGAAAGACCACGGATATCTCTTGCAACACTACAAAACGGAAAAATACAGGGTGGACTTGAAGCCCCAAACTTTATTCGCTATTTTTATGCCACTCAACTACAATATCTACACATTTGGATTTATAACAAAAAACATAACAAGCAATGGATTCAATTAGAACAAGACCAATGCAAAACACCCATAGCAGATCTCCCTTTTTTACCAGAATCAATAAAAAAACTCCCATATTTCAAATCTCTCACAATCTCGACGACTCTGACAGCCTGGTGGAAAGTTAACAAGATCACAAACTCTCTACTATCACCATGTAAACACACCCCTATCTGGCACAACCCCGACTTTCAATTGCAAAACTCACCCATTTATTTTCCACTGTGGCATGAAAAGGGCATTTCTCACCTTCAACATCTCTTTGAAAACCATACATTCATAGCATTCAACACACTCATTCAGAAGTACGGAATTGGGAGAGAGCAATACCTCCAATACCACCAACTCAAAGGCTTAATTAAGAATAAAACTAAACTATCAGAAAATGCATTACAACCCTCAACACTAACCGATAAAATTCTGAATATAAAAAGTTCAAAAAAGATCACCTCTAAAATATACAAGTTAATCTCGTCAATAAACCCTCAGTTAACACTACCAGCAGAAAAATGGCAGCAAGATTTGAACTTCTCTCCTGATCCCTGCTTCTGGAACAACATTTGTAGAAACACTTTCCTCACCACAAACACTAACATTCAGCTAACCCAATATAAAACCATTCATCGATATCACCTGACACAGAACCGGCTGAATAAAATGAAATTAGTAGACACAGACATTTGCACACATTGCAATCAGGATAGTACAGACACGTATTTACATGCCACTTGGAACTGTCCCCGGGTACAAGCACTCTGGATTGCAATAACAGATAAACTCTCCTCCATATTGAGTTGCAGAATCCCTTTAAATCCATTACTGTGTCTTCTAGGAGATATCACACAAATAGACCTACCACATGAATATCATTCTCCTCTCCTCATCTCTCTTACTCTCGCTAAGAAGGTTATATACCAAAACTGGAAAAACAAAAACACTTGCAATATCAACCACTGGACCAACATACTCAGAGACCATATTTTATTAGAAAAACAAACAGCAGAGAAGCAGAAGCATATGGCGGCCTTCACTAAATCATGGACTCTATTCATAAATAACCTCAGACCACCGCACCTCAAGACACAGAAAACACCTTCCTAGAATTATTGCTTACACTAATAGCAATGTATTGTATTGTTGTTGTTATTATTATGATTATTATTATTATTTACATATGTGTGCGTGTGTGCGCGTGTGTGTGGGTGTGTACGGGTTATAGACATTGACACGGTAATATCATGACACTGCCCGTCTGTGCCAGCCCGGTGCGCGGATAAAGGCTGACATCTACCAGTGTCCTGCGCTCCGCTGTCCTCTGGGGGCCCCGCAGGAGGGGAGGTTACCATGCCCAGGCTCTTTTTTTTTAATGCATCACATAGATTTAGACTGATTTAGGGGGAGAAGAAGGAAAAATAAATAAATTAAAATAAAATTTATGTAAAACTGTGCTCCGTTGCACAGTACTCTATTATAATTTTTCCATCAGCGTGTGCAGACCGTACAAAATGATAGCGAACATCCACATGCTTACTACGTTGTCTACACACTGGGTTCTTGGAGAGAGCAATTGTACCCTGGTTGTCCTCAAAGATCTTTACTGGAGTGTGCTGTCTTTCCTTGTCCATCCCACCCAGAAGTTGTATGAGGTACATGCTCTCTTGTACAGTAGCTGCAAGGGCTATGTACTCAGCCTCACATGTTGACAGAGCTACAGTAGGCTGTCTCCTGCTTTTCCAGGAAATTACTGGACCTTCTGTGGTCAGGCTGAAACAGTAACCACTAGTACTCTTCCTATCAGTCTGGTCTGACTCCCAGTTAGCATCGCTATAACCTTCGAGTCTAAGGCCTGGGTCTTTTCGTCTGTAACACAGTTCCTGGTCTTTAGTGCCTTTGAGGTAACGTAATACCTGTTTGGCCATTTCCCAGTGCTGTTGTGTTGGCTGTTTTAAGTGCTGGGACAATTTACTGACCGCCCAGCTTACGTCGGGCCTTGTAGAGGTCATAATGTAAATTAAACTCCCAACCATTTCTCTGTAGCCTGTGGAACCAGCCATTTCAACTCCATTATCAAAATCCAACTTTTGCTCACAAGGTGTTAGTCTTGGTTTACACTCAAGCATCCCAAACCTCTGGAGCACTTTTCCAATATGTCTAGTCTGACTCATTCTAACTTCACCTTTACACTGTGTGAAGTCAATACCTTAGAAATGTCCGAGTCCCCCTAGATCTTTCATCTTAAACTTATTTTCCAACATTTTTTACTTCACAGATTAGCCTTTCGTTATTGGCTGCAATTAACAAGTCATCTACCCAATTATCAAAATGACCCTTTCAGCCCCAGACTGTCGAACATAAACACAATTGTCCGCCGCATTTTGTTCAAAACCATTAACCACTAGGTGATCATTTAACAGCTTGTTCCAGTTGCGTCCAGATTGTTTTAGACCATACAAGGATTTATTTAGTTTACAGACTAAGCGTTCACCAGTCCCAGACTCTATCGCGAACCCCTCTGGCTGCTCCATGTACACCTCACAGTCCATTGGGGCATGAAGATATATCCCGTTTTCACGTCCATTTGATGAAGTACAAGGTCGTCTTGAGCTGCTATCTGCATCAATATCCTCACAGATGTCATACTGACCGTTGGGGAAAAGGTCTCTTTGTAGTCAATCCCCTTTACTTGGCTGTAGCCTTTTGCCACGTATCTTGCTTTGAAAACCTCAGGCTGACCAGGTCTTTCTTTGACTACAAACACCCAGCGGCCCCCTACTGCCCTTTTTCCCCTTGGGAGCTTACATAGAGAGAAAGTTCCATTCTCTCTTAAAGAGTGCATTTCTTCTTCCATTGCTTTAGTCCACTCATGGGACCTCTCAGCTCTCACAGCCCTTGTGTAGGTTTTGGATACACCAAACACCGCTCTATAAAAGTGATCAATGTCTTGTTCTTCCACAACGTCCTCCGTCTTACATTGGTAATCCCTGAGATATGATGGGGGTTGTCTATCTCTGCTTGGATAGCGACGTGCCCCCTCACTATCTCCTTTGATACCAGACTTTGCACCGCTTTCATCCCCCGCAACAGGGGTCTGGCGAGTGGGTGATGTACCTCCACCTGCTGCACCCGTGGGTTCGATCTGGTGGCTCTGGGGATGTACACCGATCCTTGGTGGTGCTGCTCTTCGTCACTATATATCTGACTGTCCAGTGTCAGTAGGGGCTTCACTAGTCTATGCCGGGAAACTCTTCCGGTCTCTGGAAAATAGATGTTGTATGCAGGACTGTACCTATCATACCCAACAAAAATGCCCCTTTCACCTCTAGGGCTCAATTTCTTTTGATTATGCTTGTAAGCATAGCACTCTGTACCAAATATCAGCATATGGGAAATATTTGGAGTTTTCCCTGTGAAAACATTATATGGAGTTTTGCCTAGTCGCCTACTATAGCACCTGTTACGTATATGTGCAGCTGTCTGCACTGCATATCTCCATAGAGTTTTTGGTAATTTACTTTCAAGTAACATTCACCGGCTCATGTCCAGTAACGTCCTCCACTTTCGTTCTGCTGTACCGTTTTGATGAGGTGAATAAGGGGCACTAGTCTGATGGCTGATCCTATTTTTCATGAGAAGATCCTGGAACTCTTTACCAGTGTACTCCGTCCCATTGTCCAATCTAATAGTCTTCACATTGCCATAAGGAGCTGTGTCAGCTAAGAATTTTTCTGTTGCTCTGGTAGTGTCACTTTTTGCCTTGAGGAAATAGGCCCAGGTCATGCCACTGTAGTCGTCTGTGAAGGCTAGGGTGTACCTATACCCATCCCTATCTGTAGGCTCCAAAGGACCACATAGGTCAGTATGCACCAGTTGTAATATTTGTTTAGCTCTGCTATCAGCTTGTCTATTTCTCTTATCTACGAACTTCCCTTCCATACAGACTTCACAGCTGAAGGCAGATTTGTTACATTTCCCCTTGATTTTCATCCCTTCAACCACACTCTCCAATCTGGAAACATCCTCAAAGTTACAGTGTCCAAGTATTCTGTGCCACGTCTGTATATCGTGACATCTCTTAAACTTGTCAATGTCTGCATCAATAATAGTGGGCAGATAATACAGTTTACTGTGGGTCTCAATGTTAAATCTGGTGCCATCCGTAACACCCATCCAGTTATCACTGATATGCAATTCCGCCCCGTGGCCTGTGGCTGCCTTCACTGAGAAAATGTCCTTTGGAAAAGTAGGTAAATGTATATACAGAGCTTTCTTCTGTAGTGCTGTCACTTTATGTCCACGGTTATCTACCAGAGAGACCGCTGCATCCCCCCTGGCTCCTGCCACTCCGGTGATCTTGGTACCGTCAGCTAGTTCAATCACATGGTTTACCGGCTTAAAGTATTTATCAATGTTCTTAAACTTTTTAAAGTCATTTATCATATGCAAATGTATGTAGCACCACAATCGACTAGTAAACCTTTAACATTGACTGCCCCCTTTGAACTCCTGTTGTTACTCAATTTAAAACAATACGACCTGTGGTCTTCATAGTAGTCCTCGTCTCCATCATGTGCTGCTTCTCTGTAGGCGCTCCAGGGGCAGGGTCTTTCTTGGTCCCTGGCGCTCCTGTCGGGTCGAGCCCAGCGCTCCCAGCGGTCTGTGGCTCCTCGTTGCTGCTGCCATGGAGTCCCGCTGTCCCCCTCGGCGTAGCTCGTCGCTCCTGCGGTCCCGTCGCCTCTCCTCATACGCGCTGGGACAATTCCTTGCCACATGTCCCTTCTTACGGCATCTGTAGCACTCGATCTCGGCCGAATCCTTCTTGTCTTCTGTGAGATCGCTTGGCTTGTATCTTTCAGTGTCCTCAAAATTTCTCAGCTTTGTCTTAAAGTCACTGAACGTTAGGGCTTCGCTCATCTGTGTGATGTTGACCACAAACGGCTTAAATGAGTTGGGCAAACCTTTCACCACCATTGCAACTTGCAGACCATCACTGATGTTCTCTTCTGCCCTCGACAACGCTGCAAATATTGTCTCGGCGCGAACAATGTAATCTGTGACAATCTCGTTGCTTTGCATGTGGAGGGCTGACAGCGTGCAGTATAAACTCACTATACGCGGCTTTCCCTTGCCTGCATAATGATGGCGAAGTATCTTCAACGCCTTGTGCCCGTCTCCGTCCGCCTCTCTCATAATCAGCGACAGACTTTTATTGTCCAAAACCTGGACCAACTCCGCATACGCCTGTCCATTCCTCCCGGCGTCTGCAGCTCGTGCATCCTCAACGCCCTCAGCTGCCCCATCGAACACTGGCTCAGTCTTCAGTGTCCCGGCAAGCCCACGCAACTCCAAATGCGCGAGGAATCTCGTCTCCCAAAGTTTGTAGTTCCTCTCATCACCATCGAACAGCAGCCGGCTGAAACGTTGGCCAGACAGCGTGCTGGGCCCATAACCTGTTGTGTTTTCCATCAATAGACGCGAGCAGCCAGCTTTCCAGTTGAGGAAACAATCAATTTATTAAAGCAAAACAGGTGCAATTTATGGAGCTACATGACGTCAGTAGGGGTCCTCACAGGAACCACATTGCCTGCTAATAAATGAACCATAATAAATGAGGCTGCATTTCACATCACGCTCAACACAAGGGACACTAAAATCCCCACAAAATCCGATCTTTATGAAAGCTGTAGGTTCTCTGTCAGCTGAGGTCGAGCTGTTTTAATATGCATTGAGTTCTATGGGGAAAATTTCTGGGTAGCCCACGTGAATTTAATCTGGTTCAGTCTGCAGTACCGCGAGAATCCCCCGAGCACATGAGTTATTCAGCTACAAGCTAGTAATACCCTATCCAGTTATTATAATAGATCCATGCGCTCACCTCACTACATGGCCCCTCCTCCTTCCCTTGATCTAGCTACAGTGTCACCTCTGCCCCCTACAGGATCGGTTCCAAAGTGTTTACAGGTCTGAAATGTTGACACAGGATGCACAAGACAAACCATAGAAAGAAACAAACGAAAAAAAAGCGATTCTATATTCATTGGCAGTGAATGAGTTAATGATTTACGAACCTGTGTGCCTTAAAGCGCTTTTTATTTCCTTTTGGGCACTCTGCCCTGGCGTTGCTGGTTTTTCTTTCTTTTATTTATTTTGTCATTATTTTATTTTTTTATTTTTTCTCTTTACACATAGCAATCTTACACTTTGCTGTAGTTATTGTTGATTTTATTGTGTTTACCTCTATTTTGTAGGATTTTTGAACAACCAATCATTTACCATAATTTGCAAGTACTTTTTTTTTAATACATTTTCTTCAACTATACAATGGTGTTACAGGATTGTTCACAAGGATCCAGAGAGTTCCAAAGCTTAACACCTGCTGCAAGGAAACCTTTCAGTTTCAAAGTGGTGCGTGAAAAAGGCACACAAAAATGTCCTTTCCTTCTGTTACTACTATCTGTGATTAAAAATAATTTATTATGGATGTGCACTGGCACCAACTTGTTCTTCACCCTCCACATTGTTTGAGTAATTTTGAAGTGAACAAGATCTTTGAATTTCAAGAGTTGTAATTGTGTGAAGAGATTATTAGGGGGGTCTCTAGGGCCTTTGTGGCAGATTATTCTTACGGCTTTCTTTTGAAGTAGATATAACTTTTCTGTGGCCATAACACTAGCATTTCCCCAAACCTCGATGCAATAGTTAAAATAAGGAACAATTAAAGTTGTATACAACAACATCAATGAAGTCTTGTCTAGAATATGTCTGACCTTATGTAGCCCATCTAAAAATGTATCCAATTTCGTGTTTTTAATAATTCCAAATTTATGAATTTGTGCAAATATAATATGTAATGTAATAAGCTAATTCACTGTTAATTTATTTCAATATTTCATACTTATTTGCACTAGTAGTCGTATAAATAAATGTACGTATTTATGAATGGGGGCTAGACTACAAATGTAGGTCAACCACGCGCACCTCCGAACTAGTGAGTGTTGACAGGTGCGTTCATGTTGTCACCCTGCGTGCCTCAAATATGCCTCCGAACCGTGGACAATAAACGTTGCAAACGGACTATTTTGTATTGTTGTTTGGTCATTTAAGAGTGCAACACTTACACAATATGCCAATACTTTTACTTACTTTTTTTCTGATGTAGTCAATATGTGACTTCCAACAGAGTTTGTTATCAAGGATTACCCCCAAAAATTTGACTTCTGAAACACACTCAATGTTTACATTATCAATGATTAATTGGACTGATAATTGTGGGTTCTTTTTCCCAAAAATCATATAACAAGTTTTATCCCAGTTTAGAAATAATTTGTTGTAATCGAACCACTGCTTTAATTTGACTATTTCCCTTTCAATGTTTTCCATTAATTCATTTAGATCCTTCCCTGTATTAAATACTGTGGTATCATCAGCAAATAACAAAAAATTTAGATCTTTAGAAGCCACGTAAATTTCATTAATAAATAATATAAAAAGTTTGGGCCCAATTACAGAGCCTTGAGGGATTCCACACAAAACAGATTTACATTCAGAACTATAACTATCATATTGGACAAATTGCTGTCTATTGGTTAAATAACTTTCAAGCCATTTATGGATCTGACCCCTAATTCCGTAGTTTTGTAATTTTGCTAACAGTAAGTTGTGATTGACTGTGTCAAACGCCTTTTGTAAGTCCAAAAAGACGCTTACAAAATATTCTTTTTTATCAATAGCCTCAAGTATTTTTTCTGTTAAGTAAATGAGTGCAGTAGATGTTGATCTTTGAGATCTGAACCCGTATTGATAATCAAAGAGTAAATTATTTTTTTCCAAATATAAATCTAACTTGTGAGTAAACCATTTTTCTAATATTTTTGAAAACTGTGGGAGTAGTGAAATGGGTCTGTAATTGTTAAATCTGTACCGATCGCTGTTTTTGAAAATTGGTATTATCTTGGCTGTCTTCATGTTTTGTGGGAAAACACCTGTACGGAGAGAAAGGTTAAATATATAGCTCAAAGGTTTAAGTAGGCAATCTATTGTCCTTTTTACAATGCTCATGTCTATCCTGTCACTGTCACTAGAAGTTTTATTTTTGCATTTTCGAACATTGTCCAGAATTTCAGCTTCTGTTATTTCATCAAGAAACATTGACTGTAAAATTCGGCTTCCTCCACCATTTTTTTGGCTACTACTATGGTTTGAGTTTTCAAGCTTCTTAGCAATATTAGGGCCGACGTTAACAAAAAATAATTGAACTCCTCTGCAATATCTACTCCATTGTTAATTACATTTCCATTCTGCACAAAGTAATCCGGCAGATTTTTATTTGGAGGATTTGGATTCATCACCTTTTTGAGAGTTTTCCAGGTTTCTTTAATATTGCTCTTATTCTCGTTTAACTTAATTTTGTAATAGTCTTTTTTTGCCAGTCGCATTATACTTGTTAACTTGTTCTTATACCCTTTGTACTTAATTTCATGATATTTAGTTCTATACTTGATGAAGTCTCTGTATAATTTGTTTTTCTTTTTACAGGCCTTCTGCAACCCAGGAGTTATCCATGGCTTTTTATCATATCTGTTGCCCTTCAACATTTTTAGGGGACAATTCCTGTTGTAGAGAGTTAGATAAATGTTCAAAAATTCTTCGTAGGCATTGTTGACATCAGCCACAAAAACTGTACCCCTGTGAAATTGATTGAAATTGATACGAGTGGAAGATCATTTAAATTGCATTGTTCAGACTGATATACATATAGTAATACATTGGTTTAAAATCGCGCTTTTTAAAAACTTAAAGACGCTTCACTATACAGGACACACACATACACCTTCAGACAGACACACAGTTCAGGACACACACACACACACACACATTCTGACAGATACACAGTTCAGGACACACACATGGTATACACCTTAAGACAGACACAGATTTGTTGGTGAAGAGGAGCATTTTGAAATGGATGTGCTGTTTGATGGGGAACCAGTGGAGTTTTTGGAGGAGAGGGGTGATGTCTCTGGAGCGGGTCTGAGTGATCAGGCGGGTGGCGGAGTTTTGGACATGTTGCAGTTTTTGGAAATCAGATGAAGGAGGGCTATATAAAAGACTATTGCAGAAGTGGAGTCTGGAGGATATGAAAGCATTGATCAGGGTTTCAGTGGCGCTGGAGGACAGGAATGGGCATAGACGGCCATGTTTTTGAGAAGAAAGAAGGCGGATTTGGTGATGTTGCCGAGGTGGGGCTTGATAGAAAGGGTGGAGTCAAAGATGATTCCAAGGTGTCTGATCTGGGCAGAAGGTGAGTGTGAAGTTCTGGGTGTCGGAAAAAACAGCAGCTGAAAGACTCTGTTAGCATGTTAGCATATCCAGATGTCCTTTATCTCAGAGAGCGAATTCCTTTACCAGAGGCTAGTCACTGATCATTCTAAGAGCTCAGTTTAAGAGTCTTGACTCACGAAGAGACTCCGGAACAGACAGTTCACAGTTCTCTCATAGCTTGATGTGTTTTGGCAAATTATTAATGCCAAAGACTAAATTCATCATGTATGTAAATCTTCTGTGTGTCTGTTCAAGTGTAAATATTTTTGATTTGTTTGTTCCCAAATTAAAACACACTTGGACAGAATTCTGTACGTTTTTCTTTCTAAATTGTCTTGCATTGCAAGGGAAAAACCGTTAAAACAAATACTAAACTATTAGTGGATTATGTATCAATAGATTTATGAATTAGGGAATTACATTTGTAACAAACAAGACTGTAAAATGACAAGTTGTGTATTTGAATGTACCTTTACAGAACCACTTACACCTCAGACTTCCTTTCAGCTGCAACATGGGTCCAATTTTATTTAGACTTTACTAAGGACTTACATGCAAGCACAGGATCCAGAGCTAAGAAAGAAAGAATAAAA